TCCCTGAGATCCCTAACCCATTCAAACCTGATCTATCATTTTCACTTTTCAAATATTTTATGATTGTTGAATTTTTTCCAGGTCACGTAGTTGTATTAGGATAAAAGAATAGGAAGAAGTTACTATACACCATTTTTTCCAGGAAGCTGAAAATACTGAACTTTTCAAGAGATTCAATAACTATTTTCCAAATTCCCAAGCTGTTCTCCAATTTAAACATGAATGCCAGCAGTATATGAGTTAAAGTTACTAGCATAGTCAATCATTTTATGAATTTCAGACATTCAAACAGTTTTACAGTATAAACATATTGTGTTTTTGTTTTGTATTTCTTAATGAATAATAATGCTGAGCATCTTTTCAAGGGATCATTTTCTGTTCATATTTTCAAGACTTTTAAAACTGTTGTCACAACATATATCTGATATATTTGATCATTTTTGAAATATATCTAACTTTCTGTAGCCATGGTATGCTTGGGAGAACTGTACTGCTACAAAATAATACAACCTTCTAGAAACTGCAGTTCCAACCCTGCTCATTTTCAGAAGACCTCTCCAGATCCCTGCCCCATGGCACATGTTCTGACTTCCTTGGTCCAGTTTTTGTCCCATCTTGTCTAATTGTTTTACAGATACTAGAGTACAAGTCACTTTTCATCCACACTTGTCTACTTCCTCTACAGAAACATAAACCTTAGTACAATGCCATCCTTGTATATTTCTGAGATCTTCCACAATGCTTATTGCAGTCTATAGTACACAGTGGGTACTTCCTAGGTACCCAGCAAGGGACTCAGTGATTAAATAAAAAGTGAGTGGGTTTGATGTGAGTGGTATAAAAGAAAATCAGAGTCATGCAGTAGTTAAAGTAGCAAAATAGATTTTTATTCATGAAATAATATAATAGGGGAAAAGAAATCTCAGTTGAGCTCTGGGCTCAATTTTGAATAGAGTGGAGAGCAGTAGAAATTTGTAGGCATGGAACTCTCTGTGTATGTTGACGGAGTCAAAGAATGAAAAGCTCAGAAGAGAAAACACTAAGAGTAAAGTGCAATTTTTGCTAAACTGATCTCACACAGTTTCTAGGGAAGACAAGTCAGGATAGTTAGGTGTCATCAGTGGGACTGTGATGAATAAAAAGTTTGATCAGAGATTGAACTGATTAGATATCGAGGGTGGGGAAATCTCTTTAAATTGATTAACAAAATTTTTGCTACAATTGGAAGTGCAGGTCAAAGTTTTAATGAGAGGAAGTCTTAGGGGAGCAGGACTGGAGTTTGCTTGAGAACCAAATCTGTCAGTGAGAGAGTTGAATGAGCCTAGAAGTTGCGTATTCCACTCAGCTTCCCTGCCCAAGCAAAACTTAGAAACTAACAGAAGGTCTCATTTATGCCCAAGATGAAGGCTGCAAGTTTTCAATCCTCGGAGATTTCTAGAAGAGTTTTATAAGTTAGACAATACACAAAGCACTGTAATGAGAACAAATTACAAAGTTGGGTGAGAAAGTTTTCTACTCCCTCTGATGGAAGATGAGAAGAATCCCCTGGGTTCTCTTAAGCAGAAATAAACCTCTAGAGCTGAGGAACCTTACATGATTATCATAATCAGACAATATTTCTACACTGCTAGAGAGGAAGGTCAACCCATTATAATTTAGAGGCCAGGAGCCCCAAAGAACAGCACATTTGTGACTTCACAATTTGTGTCTTAAAACTTTAAAGGCATAAAAATTAGAGCTGCCACAAATTCAGAGCCCTCCCTCACTTCACAGCTGGAAAAACTCAAATCCAGAAGACACAAAGACTTCTCCAATGTCACTAAACAAGCAGCAATAAAATTCCAGACTTGTAGAACCATGACTTTCATATTAAGTTGATTTCTACCTCGTGAGAGTTGAAACCAAAACATACTTCCAACAGCATTGTGAAGACAGACTGTCTTTTGAAAGAACGGAACTGTGACAGTGAGTTTGGTTTTGAAGATTTACAAGAGGCACAAGGTAGGAAAGTATTCTAAAGGTATGACATTATTCTCCTCATAATCATCACTATGAAAGAAAAGAGCCTTAGTGAAGATTATATACTGTCTCTGTTCATCGTCCTTGTCTTGAAAAGTCTTGAACTTGTTTTGTTAGTTGGTCTATATTACAAATTGAATTGTACACACTGAATTTAAGAACAACTTCAAACATGAGTGTGGGGAAAGATACAGTACCCTCACCCTCTTTCACACATACCTTCATAGAATGCCAGAAGAAGATGGGAATTCTCACATCCAGACCATTGCTGGTTGTTAACCAAAGAAATACTTAGCAAATTAATTAAGCAGCTCCTGGAGCACTCGTTCTAAAAGTACTTGATAAGAAAAGCCCTGTCTTGGAATTTGTATGGGTGATTTTTTTGCAATTCAAAAATGCTTCTGAATTTAATAATAGCTCTTTGAAAACAAACTCCAAATGCCTGGTTTTGTTAAAGGGATTGGATATGTTGTTTGTAATGAAACTATGTGTTCAAAAGATCAAGGTTTTCTCCCCCATGTATTTGAACACTAATATAACTTTCTCTTTTTACTTCTATTCTATTCTACTCTTTTTTAACCATACTCAGTCAGTCTTTTAGTTCTAGCATCTATATACTTGCCTATCTTGTAGAGTTGCTTTAATAAGTCAAGAGAGCTAAAAACCTGTTGTGGGAAGTTCTTTGTTGATAGGAATTTTCAGAAAAAACATATGAGATCTAATATTTCTGGAAGTGAAAGGATTGTTTTTAAGTACTCCCACAGGGTTCAGAAAAGAAATTTTAAGAGAAAAAGGAACATTAATCTTCAAGTAGATTTTGAGACAAGGAAGATTCAACCAAATTTGGACAGAGAGGATAATTACACTGAAAGACGGTGTGAGGAAAACATCATCCCCAATATGATACACTTTGGCAAGAGAGAAAAAAAAATATACTCCAGCCTTCTCACTGGGAAAAGATTGCACAGTTAATTAGGAGACAATAACTCATACTTAAAGAAGAACAAATAAAATATGAGAAAGGGGAAAAGGGTTGATAGGAAATAAGTAAAGATTAGAAGATGTAGCTTATGCAAGAATATGAAGGAACACATGTATACACAGGTCTGAGAGGACCAAAGAATGAAACGTTCCTTTGAGATAGAGTCCATAGCCTTGTGGTTTATATCTGGAATCAATTACAATTTAGACCATCTTCTTGTACCTCTTTTAACTCTCAGGTACAAGCTAGACTCTGCCTTTAAAAATGTGTAATCTTCTGGAAACTAAATCCAGTCAGGATGAAAAGTCTACTCATCTGCTCATTTAAAAATAAACACAATTTTTTATGGATTAAGTACTTTCTTTTCACAAATTTTCCATCCAAAATTTACTGGGAATTTTTATCTTCTTAAAATATTCTATTTCATCACCTTGAGAAATAGAGCAATATATGTCTTATTATAGCTTTCCATAAAGAGAAAAAATTGATATATGAAAAGTATATGAAATTAAAGGCAAAAGTTTTATTGTAGGTACAAATATGCCACTTCTTAGATACAATGATCTCATCTGGTCAGTGGGTGGAATAGTCACAGCTGCCTTACACATTTTACTTATACACTTCATGTTTATACTGTGAATATTGAAATCAATAAATATTTCAGGCAACTTGGAAAAATATAAACTTTCTGACAATAAATATGTTGTGTGTGTTGGAAAAAACAATAGTTCAATATAATACAAAGCTTTACTATATTGCATGTAAAGACGAGCATAGTTCTGGGGAGATCAAAGGAGGAAGAGATTAATTTAGATGTTGAATTACTGAAGAATCCATGCAATGACTAAATATTATTTATCTATTTTGTTTGTGGATCTCCGAATCAAGAAAATGAGGAAAATATCAATCATTAAACTGTGCTATGCTGGCATAGAGAGTCTGTTTATTAATAATGAAAGGTCTTCATAATTCCTTTGTAGTCGCTGTGGCGCCGCCTATTGGAGACTATGTGCCATGGTCAATATGGCACTGGCCCTTAGACGCCATGTGCTAAGCCCCACCCTTCTTCCCAGAGTCAAGTTACGACTTCCTACTCCCCTTTATGTAATATCCTGTTTCATTTTCCCACATTCCTGCCCAATGCTAGCCTACCACGTCAGCTAGCCCACCCCCTAAACCCCGCCTCTAGCCTGACTGTATTTAACCATTGTCCACATGACCCGGCCCCCAGAAGATTCTCTTTCTCTGTCAATCTTCTCCATGCCCTAAAGCAATAAACGTGTTTTATTGTTTTATTACTCTCTGCGCTGCCGGCTGGACACCTTTTAAATAACATCTCATATTATTACCAATTGCTGTTACTTCTAAGAATCCTGGGTTGCCCTTTCTTCTTATCTCACTCTCAGAAAAGCCGTAAGGGCATGTTCTTTTATTATCTTTAATATTTTGGACTGCGATGTCATCTTTAAGAAGGGATAATGGCTTTAAATTTCTCCAGCAATTAAAAACTATTTTCCAAGTTTGATCCTAATTACTAAAAAGTCAACTCTCAGTCTTCACTCAGTAGGTATTAGCAGGTCAGATATTATATGAAAGCTTCCATGTTGCATCCTGCCTCCCTTAACCATTCAATATTTTCTTCAGCCTTCAGATTCTTATCCAAATGTGGCTGAACTAAATATGTTAATCTTATGTCTGCATATCATTTGGAGTATTTTTTTTCTTATTATACTGCCAGCCCATAATATGCCAGAGAAAGCCTTTTGTCACATAATGTCTCAATAAACAGCTGCAAAAATATAGGGGAAATAAATGAATGCAAAGTAAGGAAAAAAAGGAAAACCTCAAAATAAGGAAAACCTCCCCTACATATCCATGGCTTCACAATTGGCAATTGTAACTGTAATGATTTTTCTGATTCACATCACAATTTCATATGATGATAGCAAGCAATAAGATGAAGGTTTATTTATTCTTTCTTTCATGTTTCAGGCAAACAATGAAGACCAACCAGACAGTCTTGGGAGAATTCATTCTTCTTGGCTTTTCACTTTACCCACATGCACAGACATTCCTTTGTGTGATCGTCTTTTGTCTGTACTTTCTCACTCTGGCAGGTAATGCGGCCATCATGTGTTTAACTTGGGTGGACAGATCTCTCCACACACCCATGTACCTCTTTCTCAGTGCACTCTCCTTCTCTGAGACATGCTACATATTAACAATTGTCCCTAAGATGCTGGAAGATCTTCTGACCAAGAGCAGAAGCATTTCTGTCATAGGCTGTGGGTTGCAGACATGTTTCTTCCTGGGACTTGGTGGTACTAACTGTGTCATCCTCACTTTAATGGGCTATGACCGCTTCCTGGCCATCTGCAAACCTCTCAGATACCCCATTCTAATGACCAATGTTGCATGTGGACAGTTTGTGGCCTCTGCTTGGGTTATTGGCTTCCTTATCTCTCTGATAGAAACTACAATGATATTCAGGGCTTCTTTCTGCAGACCCAACCTCATCAAACACTTCTTTTGCCACATGCGGGCAGTTGTCAGACTGTCCTGTATAGACAGTGACCTCACGGAGTTCATAGTCACAGTGATCTCAATGTCAGGCTTGCTGGGCACATTCCTGCTTATCACCCTGACTTATGTGTTCATCCTTTCCACTGTCCTCAGGATCACCTCAGCTGCGGGTAAACAAAAGGCCTTTTCCACCTGTGCCTCCCACCTCACAGTGGTCATCATCCACTTTGGTTTTGCATCCATTGTTTATTTGAAGCCAGAATCTTCAGGGGGTGATGACACACTCATTGCCATCCCCTACACTGTTATTACCCCTTTCCTCAGCCCCATCATATTCAGCCTTCAGAATAAGGATATGAAGAATGCTTTCAAAAAGATTTTAGGGAAGACACTTACCATAAAAATATAAACATGGATTACTTCCTCTAGATTATACTATTGCATAGTGTCCCCTGAATTCAGGAGGACATTTGGTCTGTGGTCTCTTGGGACACTTAAACAATCTTTCCTTTTCTCAGAAGTGGGTGTAGGAAGCAGAAGAGTGGCACTAGGGCCTATACCATCACAGGTATTCCTCTATCTTGGTAATGCCATTTTCCAACCTTCTCCTCTCCACTGTCAAAGGAAGAATGTCCCTGTGGATGTGAGTATTTCGCCAATCAACTTCTGGTTGTGTTGTACCAAACTTGAGTGAGAAAAGAGGATTGTTAAAGGAAAAACAGCCCTGAGAAAATTTTCAGCATCAAAATACATAAATGTGGAGGAGTTTTTCTGGAAAGATTGATGTACAGGGTCACATACCTCAGGTGATGAATCATTCTAATAAGAAATACATGTTATTAAAAAACACAACTGACTATTTGTGTTTTTCCACATATACAAATACACACATAAGTATCACACATATTCTTTAATTTTCATGACATATTGATTACTAAATATTTTTAGTAAAAACCTGCTCATGACTGTTGCTTCCTGGTAATTACCAAAAACTACCTATTGAGTATAGGGGAATTCTTGCACTGTTCTATCTTGTGAGTAAGTAAGACATTAATGCCTGTATTTTCTGTGATTTAGATACAATAGATATGAGAGACATCTACTTTTTCTTTAAGGTGAATATATTTTAAAGGAACTGTTGATGAGTTATGTCATGATACTGAGATACGGTGGGAAGAACACTAAGGAGGGATAATTTCAGTGAAGTATAAAATGTGATAGAGGAAATTAGGTTAACTCAGCGTTTATTCTTTATATCACCAGCAACATCAGGACCCAGTGAAATTTACACTGCAGAATAATATGTGATCTTACTGAAAATTCAGACATAGATGCCTAGAAATTCTGGAAACTTGGTTTCATTCTGGTTTTTTTGCTTCTGATGTTCAGAAATTTCATTTTATTTTTATTATTTTTCTAAATTTTTATTAGTACATGTGTCTAGTACATAATGATTACATCCATCATATCTCATACATGAACATATCAATCTGAATTTTTTAACGTCCCCTTTTCCCTTGTCCTCCATTTTTTGATCCCTTTCTATTTGCAAAAGGTCTATTTTCCTATTTCCTATTATCCAACTTTGTTTTTTCTTTTGGCTGTTTAGTTATATTCTGGGTTTTTCACATAAGAAAAAACATGATATTTCAGCTTCTTTGTCTGATTCATTTCACTTAAAATTATGGTTTCAAAATACAAACATCGTCCTACAAATGACTCAGATTTATCCACCTTTAGAGCGGAGTAGTACTGCATCGTGTATATACAGTACACTTTCTTTATCCATTCGTCTGTTGATAGATATACAGGTTGGTTTCAAGATTTAGCTACTGTGAGTTGTGCTGCTATAAACATGAATATGCATGCATCATCATAATTTAATGTCTTTATTCTATTCTTAACTGACTCTGTGGCTTCTATCAAATATATAAATTTGGTTCCAGGACTTAATATATAAAAATTGTATATGAAAACTCTTGGAGTAAACTTATCTCCATTATTTTGGGCTTGTAATGAGATAAATGAGAGAATATACGAAAATAATTATGCATGTCAACGGATTAAACTCACCCCTTGCCCTGACTCTCCTCCCGTGGAATAGTTTTCCAAACACAAAATCTCCACCATCTTCAACCTCTCCGATACTTCAATAGTCAGTGTGCTTCTTTTCCTTTAGTGCCACTGGAACAACATGTTGTTCAATATGCATAATACAAAATCTTGGAAAGAAATACTGAGGATTAGTCACTCATGATGGGGCAAAGATATTTACATTGTCTAGACTCAAAACTAGAAGGTTTTAGGGTAAGTGAAACAAATCAGACACACAATGGCAAATATCACACTTCATCTGTCCTATATGAACATTTTAAAAGTCTATTTGAATATAGAATAGTGATTAATAGAGGCTGGGGAGGGAAGAAAGAAAGGAAAATAGAGAAAGTTTAAATAATGGATAGATACTAAGACACAGAAATACCTAGTTGCAGTATTCCATAGCACAGTGGGTAGCTTTCCTCACTACACAATAACTGATATAAGTTTTATGAATAGCTAGAAGAGCTCAAAACTTCCAAACATAATAATGATAAGCTAAAGGAAACATTAATTACCCTTATTTGATCAGTGTACCTTGCATATATGCACTGAAACATCGAACTGTACTCAGTAAAATTTTTAAAAAATATTTGAGAAGATGGAAGTATTAATTACCCTGATTTGATCATTGCACAATGTATATGTGTATTAAATTATCACAATGTCCTCAGTAACATCTGTAACTAAAATTACAGTAAATAAATAAAGCCTAGACTGAAGTTCTTGAATATGAATTTATATGAACATATTTTCCTTTGTCTACTATGGGTAAGATTACTAATTGTGTACTTAATATCCATTCTTGAACTAAAAGTCAATTAACAAATGAAGGCTACAAATACCCAAAGATTTATGTACATTTAGAGACTTGCCTTGCAACAAATATAACATCACATAACACTGAGAGAATAAAATACCTTCAATAATTGGTGCTAAAAAAGTACCATATATATATGGAAGAAAGCAAAATGTGTCAGAAACCAATTTCTGGGAATTAAAATCTAAATTTGAAAATCAGAATGATAATAAAAATATTTGAAGACAATATAAAAAGATGTTTTCACAGAGTTAGAGCAAGAAATACATTTTTAACTTTGCTTAAAATCTTAGCTGGAAGTGAAGGGCTCAGAAATCAAAATTGAGAAATTTTTAATCAACAAAGTAGCACTATCAAAAGAATGCTTTTGTCATCTACATAGTCAAACCATGAGAATATTTAATGTCTAAGAAATACTTAAGAAATGGACAGCTATATAAGAAGGCAGGACAAATGAGTGACTACTGCCTAGCAAAATCTTTTTTAATCTAAATAGTAATTGCAAGGGTTTTTGTGTCATGGAAGATTCACTAAGCTTTGTTCTGTGTGTATGCTTTCTTCTATAAAATAGATATTTATTTGTTTTGTTTTTTGTTTTTCCAGTACTGGGAATCAAACTCAAGACCTCGCGCTTGCCAGGCAGGTGCTGTGCCACTGAGCTAAATCCCCAGCCCCAAAATAGATATTTAAAATAATATTTCACAGAATGAGGAAAAATATGGGTAGCTTGTAGTTGTGGGTAGCTTGTAGTTGGTAGCTAGTATTTATTAATAATCCTTATTAAAATAAATAAATAAAAACACAATGACAAGAGTACTTGAGAGATGTGAATTGATTTTTCATGAAGGAAAATATCCAAATAATAAGTACCTGATGATATGTTCAATCTCATTAGGAAACATGAAAATAAACTTTAAAACATCATACCTATAAACCCAGCACTAGAGAACACTGAGGGAGGAGGAATGCAAATTTGACCCCAGGCTGGGCAACTTAGTTATTTACTAAGACCTAGTCTCAAAATACGAAATAAAAAGGGTTGGTGATGAAATTTAGTGTGAAGGCCTGGGTGCAATTCTTAGTGAAAAATACACACACACACACACCCCTGCATACACATGTATGCACACATGCACACAATTAGTTGCCTGCACACATCTAGTTAGACAGTTAAAACTGACAAAATGGATTAAGAACTGTTAATGAAAGTAAGTCTTTTATGCTCATGATAAGTATTTATACTGTGTCAGTCAGTTTAGAAAATAATTTATTACAGACTTGTTATCAAGGTACTCATACTCTGTGGTCAAGCTTTTCTACTCATACGAGGTATGATAAAACAGTGGGTGGTTATTTAACTTAAAAATTATTACAATACAAGATGCATTGTTGTCAATCCATATAACTAAATAACTCCCTTGCTTTAAACATTTATCCCATCATTCTTGCCACTTCCTGAAGCATTTCTGGTGTCTTCCTTCTTGCATGTATTTAGTTGCATTTACTTGACTGCTTTGATGTACTGAATTGATTCAAGTTGTTTACATTTCATGGTCATTTTGACTTTAGGGGAGAACCACAGTACTGTGGTGTCAAATGCAGTAAATAAGGAAGATGAAGACATGCTACAATGCTTTCATGAGATTGTTTTTCCATTGGGTGGCACTGGGAAGAAGCTTTTACCATCTTTCATCACACTTACAAACACTCACAAGAGAGGACTTCCAGAACTAATTCAGAATGTAGTAGAAATGATAGGACAAACACGTTTGAAACAAGAGGGAGTGTTGAGAAGGAATAATGACAATGCATGCTTTACTGTGGGAAGTTATTCAAATATTCATTAACAGAATAGATAAATTATGGGATAAGCATAATGATCACAACAAAATTATAAAAGTGAACCAATGGCTATGTACTTAAACATACACTGGAAATGGTGATACAGTATGGATTAATAGTTCCACAAGATATATGAGAGTATTAAGGGACTATAAGATTCACACATAATGTTTACAAAAAATAGCAACATTGTTGGGCAGCATGCTTAGATATATTATTTGAACTGAATGTCTCAATATCATTCAAAAAGCATTCTGAAAACACAGACAGAAGAGTCATCCCAAGATTAGAATAAACCTTAAATACTGATCTTAATAACAAATCATTTAAAGAAATCTGATTTTCATGGCTTTTCTGTGTATAGAAATTTATGTTCAGGGACAATTGTTGTAATGATATAACAGTAAGCAGAGAACACTTGGTGCTTAAAGTCTGAGTATGTAAGGAAAAAGGAAATCCAGAGTGAACCTTCCTAAAACTACTATTTTCACACTTGACTGTGGCATATTTAAGACAGCTGTCCCTGAGGAACAACATCAGAGATTTAACACACCAAAGAGCACACAAAAAGATACATTTCACTAAAATAATCCAACCAATTACTAAACAAGTAAGCCAGCTGTCTTGGTTACTTTTCTCTCATTGCTGGG